GAAATATAGTTAAATTGGGTGTGAAGTTCTCCTTTATTCCACAGACATTTTGATATATTCATAGGACGTCTAAGAGCAAAAACACCTATGAAATACTGTCTTTCATATTCTCAGCCTCTCTCTCTCTCTCTCTCTCTCCATCTCTCTCTCTCTCTACAATATACCCAAGACTTGCTAAAATTGGTAAGGAGTATGTATCCTTTGCGAGGAAGTGCGAATATCTTCTCATTACCGATTCGAAATAAGCGCATAACTCCGAATTAAAGATGCGCAATCGATAAGCCGCGTTTAAAAGAGAGAACGTAATTCCGTGGCGACTACAGCACGATAACGTTGCAGTCGAAAGTTCAGGTGCTAATGAGCAGCGCGATTAAGCAAATTTATTCCGTTTGTATCCGACGGAGGAATATATCGTTTTTGCTTGAAAGCGCCGACCATATGAAACCGCGGCGCGGCGGGCGGTTTGCACCGCGATCGAAATACGGCACCTATTAATTATGTATAAATTAATAATAATATGGATATTGTCACGTCATTAGGTGGCGCGCGTTGTATATTTAATAATGACGGTGCCGTTAACGCGCATTCGTCCGCCGTTAGTGTCAAATGCGCCACACTACTATTCATTTGCTATGTGATAATAACGTATCGACGTAAATATCATTTCGTTAATCGTGATTGCCTTGAACACGCGTGAACTGGATTTTCGGCCTCGGCTATCTGTCGTTCCGTCCGAAGCGCGGACTTATAAAATAAACTATTCACTCTTACAGGATGGCTGGTGAAAAAACTGAGAGTGAAAAAAACATCATATCTCGTCGCGCACGAGATCGATACCGAAGCGATTACGACGTTTCTTTCGTTCACTCACACATTCATTCTCCCTTTCTTCCTCGCCGGTTGAGAACGAGAATCGAGTGCCGATTATCCAGAGTCGGGGATGAATTTCTATTTAATCATTAGCGTCATGGGGGAAAACGGACGTCATCGGTCGGGAGCGACGACGGGTGCGCGCGGAGGATAACGGAAGTTACAGAAGGGGATAGTGTGATAATAAATATGCCCAGCGCCGGCAGTCATAAATCCCGCGTAATTGAATTTTCAACATCCATAACTGGCCGTCGCTCGGCGCGACCTCAGGAAATAGGACGGAACGGGACGTATCTTGAACGGGAGTTAGATGATTCCATTCCGCTTTCGAAAGGCGCAGCCCTTTTCGACTCGTCCTCCCATTCTCCCCTTGTTCTCCCTCTCTCTCTCCCTTCTCTCCCCCCCTTCTCTCTCTCTCTTTCTCTGTCTGTCTTGTTCTCACTTACGCGATAGATAGAATGGCAATCGATCTCGCGGCGTTCATAGTCAGAGACTATTTTTAATTCGCCTTCCAGACCGAGCCTTCTAAGCGAACGCAGCGTGTCCGCCTTTCTCTACCTTACTCTTTTCTTCCCCTTTCTTCGACTCTCGGTGAGCGAAGAGTTCCTTTGACGCGAACATCTAATCAAGGATTTCCTCGACTCTTGAGTCTTCGTCCTGCCGAACTCTCTCTATAGCCCCGTGCTCTCTCCCTCGCCCCTATCTCCTCGCTTTCTCACCCTCCGCCCACCTTTTTCCCGGCTCTCCCTCGCTCTCTTATCCCTCTCCACGTTCATTCGTCGACTGCCTTCGCGCCGTTGTCGCCGTCGTTGCCTCAGACTTGGCGCGGAAAACTTTGATTGTACGTAAGTCGAAAGCACCGGGGACGCGAAAAAGGAATGCCCGGAATATCGTGGGGTAGCGACGCTCGACGGTTGCTGAGGGCCGTCTTGAACACGATAGGATTTCCACTGATTGGAAATCCTGTCATTCAATGGCCCGCATATATATTTCCCGATAGACTGCGCCGGTTCGCGGCAACGACGCGAGCACGTTTCCATAAAAAAGCCAGACCGGCGAAGACGGACGAGCAAGTGAAAGTCGCGGTGTTTGTTCAGCGCGGAGGGGGCGAGCTTCCTTCTTAACCGCGATTCCCTCGAAAGCTTCCCTCCCCCCACGGTACACTCCCCGGCGGCCTCGAGGCGCGAATAAATTCATCCCGATGCATCTCCAGCAATTCCAGCATTCTGTAATATCTAACAACGCCGGATTTATTCTCCGGTCGTAATGCAAAGCCGGGTGCTGGAACTCCTTTGTCTGCCGAAGTTCCCGAGCCCCCATGATCCTCGAGAAATCGACTGGACACCGTGCGCGCTCGACTGCTGCGCGCGTTATCGGCCAGCGCGATAACAGCCGGAGATCCGCCGGGGCTGCCGTGACGTCAGAGATTATGATAAGCCCTCCCCGGCGGCGAGAAACAAATGACGTACTAACTGCATATTAACCGAACTGCCCGAGCTGCTTGTGAAGCCCGCCTACTGCCCAATGGCCCGCCGAGTTCACGATTCATCGGCGCCGTTTCACGGACCCGGACTAAACTTTCCCGGCGAACGCGCCGGGCACGTAATCACCTTGTCTTCGCTGATGGATTAGGATGGTGGCCGATGGAAACAATTATCGACAGGGAGCCGATTGACCGGGCTTAACCGAAATCGTCCTGCGTCCAATTAGCACTTTTTCTTTCTCGTACTATTCGCGTCAGTCGTCCGATACGCCGGGGAGTCGCACTGATTGTTTCGTCGTCACGCGAATCGGCGGCATAACTGCGGCGGCCACGGAAAGCGGCTGGACGCAACGCCACCTTAATCTTCCTCGACAGGACTCAAGCAAAGCCCCGGAGACGAGTACGACGAATACACGCTCTTTGGCGAATAAGGATATTACTCCGGCACGACGTTCTTATTTGCGGAAGAGCGCGACACAACGACTCTTCCTTGCTCTATCAGTCAGATTTCAAAGTTGCGTTTCGATGATTGCACATACTGAACCTCCCTTGATCACGTATAATCAATGGAAGCACATAAATAATGTTACTAAAACCGAAAAATGTATATAACTCCGAAAGGGTCGGTTTTTAAGAGACACTTTTTACTCAGTATAACGAGTACCCAGTAAATTTGGAATACTTTCTTTTTCAACAGCCTGTACATATATATACGTATTCATGAAGCAATGTTTCTTGCGAGCAGGAAAGTTAGACAATAAGTTAGCGCGTCGCGGCGCGTTATTCATTACTTTCATTCCTCCCGCGATCGTCCAGACAATCGCGCGAAAAAAATACGCCGCGCTGAGCCGGAGAGATCGGGCGAGCGCTTGCCCGCCGGCATTTCGCTACTCTCGGAGTTGGACGTTTAAACGACCGACTTCCGCTCTGCAGCTATTCTCGGCGTTACAGTCGCTAAGTAATATCGGCGCCGTAATACCGCTGGAAACTTGCACCGGTAGCATAAGATCCGGGGCGACGTTATAGCTCCAAATGAACTGCGAGCTTCCGTCGATATCGCATAATTTTGATAGTGTCAAAGAGTGTACAATTAATCGATACCATCGAGAAAAATGATAGGATGCGGTGAAAGGTGCTCAAGACGACATCAAACACGCGGTGTTGCAACTGAGAGAAGAAAAGATGTTCGGTACTCGCGAATATATTCACACAGAGGGATAATTATAAATTATTATAAATTGCGGCAAAAAAAACTATTTTTTGTTAAATTCTACTACAATATTAATGATGATAACCTTATATACACGTTGTTGCAATTTCCGCGTTAGAACAAGCAGAAAATATGGTTGGGAACTTCAATTAGATCAATCATTCTTTTCGCTCTCCGTGCGAGGACGCCGAGATTCGCCGCGGATTCATGCGGAATATCATTCTCGCAACGGCGGACGGAAATCTGCGGGACGAGTTAAGGGGCTCGAGATAACGAGAGAGTAAGGAAATCCTCTCAATTTTCCATAACAAGCGCGTCCAAAGGCTCTGCCGTAAAAAAAAAGACAAAAAAACGATACATCTCGTCAGTGATATTAGCGTATAAAAGAGGAGAGCGCGCGTTACTCGCGAATTTTTACACTCGGCGGGCGCAGTGAAAAAGAAAACTTTCGGGATGTTAGGGAGAGAAGGGGAGAAGAGTGCTCGAATTACCGTGGGGTGCGGGAGCGAGGGTCAGGCGCGAAGCCACGATGGTCTTACCGGGTCGGCCAGCGAGTTTATCATTAAGAAACTAATTCGATTTCTGCGGAGGGGGTCTGCGGGGCCGAAAGTTGTGCGGACGATCAATGACTACCAGAACTCGCGGTCTCCTCACGGGCGAGCAATTTCTCAGCCGCAGTTGATTTGTAGGACAATATTTTTCCCCAGACTAAAAGATAACACATAAACGCGAACGTGCCGTGGTATTCTTCGGAGCTGTCTTCGCCCTGCTCGTCTTTTTTCGTTCTCCCCGCTCCCCCCGTCCTCGGCTCTCCTCGCCGACTTTCTTTCCTGTCCGGAGCTTCAGCCGCGCTTCGGGTGGCGCGTGACCTCGTTCCGAGATAAGACAATGTTTCTCCACTCTCCGTGGACAGAAAGAGATCTCTATCCACTCTATTCGCCCAGTAGATATAAGTCGCCTCTCGCCGCAGACGGATAGAAAATCTACACTACCTCAAACAACTGATTCGCGTGACCCTTGACTCGGTTTTCGAAACGTCGTCGCAGGAATCACACCGTGGTTAACTGTCCTGTCCGCGAGCTCTATCAATATCGAATCGAGGACTTTTCTCACGAAGACACGTTTGAGTGAAATCATTTCGGAGAAGTATCGGGACGTACTGATTAAGAGACGTGAAGAAGGAAATCGTGGAAGTCGCGTGATGAATTTTAACAGCTGCAGCGTGTATCGTATGCCATGTGTCGTGTAATGTAACAAACGTGCGGTCGTAAATCGTATCGATTTCTCACAGAAGTAGTAATCGCGCCACGCAATGTCACCACAGGTAATATTATTCATTTATAATTCCGAAACTATATCGTCACTGGCTATATCGTTTGACGTTTTCCCGCTAGAATTTCCAACCTTAATTAAGTTCTAAAGTTGAAATATCGCGAATTAATTATGCAATATCTTTTATATGCAAAAGGAAAGCAAACTATTTGAGGAAAATGACAAAAAGTGCACGATGAGATATAATCCACTTTGCATAGGTCATGATTATTGCATTTGATCGTATAGATATTTTGCATCGTTGTTTTGACAAATATGACGCAACCAGATAATTACTTCGTACTTAAAAATTTTTAATCTGATTCATAAAAGTTGGCCCGGGACCGGGATGGCAGCACAACGCAGGTTGCCGTACGTCGCCATCTCTTTCAGCCTACAGAAAGCACGATGTATCGGAATGGTCGAGGGGAAAATTTGGATCGCATTATCTGAATTTATTACTGAGGGTGTGCGCGGCGCGGGAAGCGATGAAAATCCAAAAACCACTTTCATGTATGCTCTGATTATATTTACGTAACAGCTCGACGTATGTGAGCTAAACAGCGCGCAATATTCTTTCATTAACGATCTTCTTCGGATAGAGTTCTCGATCTGGGTTGCATACACAAGTAGAATGCATTTTAAGAAACAGAAGAGGGAAGAGGGGGAGAAGACGTATATCTAGGCGACCGAGTCGAGATCGCACTCGTGGTGACAATGCGACGCGATCGATCGGCATCCTCTCGACAATCGACACCGCGATGACACGTTCATCATCGGTGGGATTACGATTCTTCCACGGTAACCTTCTCGGTCTGCGCCGACACGCTGTCCTCGGCCACTGGCTCCCGAATTCCTAGCCACTTACAGCGCTTCTCCAACTCTTGTCGATACCTGGACCGTTGGGTTACCCGATTAAGATCAACCGCGGTGAAAAGGAAATCTTTTAAGCGGCAAAATCAGCTCTAATCATTCGTCTACTCTAGAAGCTACGAGCACCTATCTTAAAGTCTATTTCTATTAGCGAAATTTGCAACTACGCGAAATGACCTCACAGACATCAGGATGCAACGAAAACTACGCTTCTGTCACCTAGGATGGTTGATCGCGTATATCCACGGATCGATACACGAGACCGTCTTGGCGAAAATGGCCGGCAACATTGTCGACAGGGGAGTGAGCGCTTCGCTGAAACATGCCCAAAATATATCGACGTAAAAGTGCACAACATTTTGGATTTGTCCCGAGAGACCCCGAGTCGAAATTTTGATCCTACTCTCGCTATCACATGTGTGTGTAACATCTACTTTTATATTCTAAAGTCTAAATCAATTACTTTTGAATTTATTTAATATATTGAATTCATTAAGAAGTCCTCTTGAAAATTTACAAGTGTCATTTTGTACATTTTCTGCTGTTTAAAGACGTTAAGTGCAACTTCAGAAACTCCATGTGTATTAAACTCATCCTTTAAAATGTATGGATGTTATAAAGGCTAAGTCGAAAATGGACTAATTTTTACTTAAAAAGTTTAAGGTAAGTAATACGTGTAATTTTACGTTTGTTAGATTGCTGAATACGATGGTAACATTTTTACATAAAAAGGTCGAAATATAAATCATTCTTAATAGTAATTCGGTCAGTACTGATTTTGTGCGTGTTCTAATTACTTAATTACTTGTATTATCATATAGTTTATTTTTACAACTTTGTACTCCACTGAAAACTTAGGATACACTTTCAAATCCAAGTAAAAGTCCATGTTAAAAACCTAATGTGTCTTTAGATGGAACGTCCATGATGATGTGGAAGTTCACCATTAACCATGGAATAAGAAAACTGACACACCAACACACTTTTAACTTTTATATAAAGTGTTTTCTTAATTTCCAGTAAAAAAAGTTATAAAACCAAACTATGATATATGTAACAGAATAATTGGAACAAAATTGTTAGTGACAATTGTGTTCCAATTATACAATTACAACAGCATGTTCACTAACCGAATTGCTATCAAAAGTGACTTGTTTCTTTTAGGGTAAATTTGAACCACTTTCTTTTGTAGGTTTAAAGGGATAAAAATACTATTATCGTATTCAGCGATCTAAAAGCGTAAAATTACACGTATAACTTACGTTAGACTATTTAGAGGAAAAATCGGCCAATTCTGTCCATCGTCCTTTCGACTCGGGATACTTCCGGGTGTCTCGAGTGAGTTACCGATTTCCGTAGGCTCCCGTCAAGGCGACAACTGCGTATGGCGTCCACGCGAAGACAAAGAGAAAGAAGATGGTGAATGCGACTTTTGCGATCCTCATCTCGACGCTTCTCTCTTTGTCTTGGTTCGACACGAGCGACTTAACATTCATCTTCTTGGCCTACACATATGACACGCGTGTGTCGTGAAAATCAACCCCCCATCTCGACGCGCAAGACCGACCAACTAATTACGTAACCATCGAATTTCAGCTTACTTGGTCGCGCAGCATTTTCTCGTGACTGCGAATCGATTTCAGCAATTGCGAGTAAAAGTAAATAATCAGCAACATGGGGAGAACATACGCCCAGAAGAATATTGTTATCACAAACGTCCGCGTGTCCTCGTCGTCTGTAAGGTAATCGAAGCTGCACGTGGTGAGGAAACCCTCTGCGAATAATACGATCGATTGGTCACTTTTCCCGAAAGAATGCTTTGCTTCTTTTGGTTCGCGCGGGGGGAGAGACAAGGAGAACGACAAAATTATTTCTGAAGAGTTCTAATCTTATACATGAGTAATTGCGGATAGAGCGAGAAACGATAATGTAAATTCTTGGGAATGAGGGATTGAGAACTTGCCGTGATGCGGTGGAAGGTTCGGAAGGTACCTGCTTACCTGCCACATATCGACCCCACAATCCCGTCATAGGCAATATCGAGAAAGGCAGTGCCCAAAACCACGTGAACAGAGCTATCACCGCAGCCTGTTTCCCGTTGAGTCTACCGTCAATAGGACAGCTGATCGTCCTGCAATACCAAGCACGATATGCAGTCTGACCGTGCGAGTGTACGAAGGGTACAATCGCGCTCTTTTCCCTTGTCACTTCGCCTACTCACTCTCACCCCTGCTAATATTCAAACTGACACACAATCGAGGCGGATTACAACTGTCAATTGCCAACTGTCTAAGAGTAAACCGCTATTCGTAAGACGTGAATTGGATTTCAAATTTTCGACGCTAATTTTCCCACCCTAATGTTTCACCCAATTTCCCTTATCGACGTTGGTTCTGCGCGAACTATATCGCGACTCGCGACGTCGCGAGTAACAACGTCGCAATCGTTAATAAAGCTTAATCGTGCCGACCTGTATCGATCGAAGGCGATCGCCGCGTTAGTGATCGCCTGCCCCATTCCGGAAATCGCGCCGAGCAGAGCGTACACGTCGCATCCGGTCTCCCAACCAATCGTACGCTCCAGGAAACTGTTTATGATCAGCATAGGCATCTCCGTTGCCATCAGTAGATCGAACACGGCCAAGTTCAGGACGAACACGTTCGACGGTGTCCTCAGTGATTTGGACCTACAAATAGGCGCGAAATCACGGAATAACGAATTAAGAGTATGTTAAGAGAGTTACTTCTCACTCTCAGGTAAATAACTACATGAAATAACTACATAACGCTTCTCACTGTATTGATTGGAGCAAACTGTGGCGACACGATTCCACTGTGAGTACACAGATGGCGACAGCGAGGACATAAGGAATATTTACGAAATTGACTGCTACGATTAAAAATAATGTTTCGGACTCAAAATCTCTGAGAGAGAAATGACAGTTTTGGAAACGTTTTATCTCGCGTGGGAATAAAATTGTACGCTCAGACGTGTTTGATAAGCTTTAACAAAATTCAAAGACACAACGAGAACGTTCGCCCCTCAACCAAATCAACTTTCTATTTATAGTCAAAGCAATTCTTCCCTTTTTTTTTCTTTTAATTGGCAGTACTTGAGAACTTGTTAATCTGCGATATTCATCCTCGCGCTATATCGCGCACTAAATTCTCCTAAACTACGACGGGCTTACGTGCTGAAAATCCAGATGACGATGCCATTCCCGACGAGGGAGAGCATCAAGAGCAAGAAATAAATAAGCGCGAGGGCGATGTGCCACAGTCTTCCGGGCGCGAGGAAGGCGCGCCAATGAGGATGCACAAGGTCCGCATGCTCCGCGGGAAAATTCCATCCCAGGAATCGTTCTTGCAACGGTTGAACGTCTCTGTTATTAAAAAATTAACCTAGTCGGTATTTCATCAAATAATAATACCCAATCTGACAGTCTCCGTATAATAATAAAATTTCGGAGGTGCGATTAACGCTTCAACTGAAAATCTTATTATTCGCCGAAATCTGCTGGATCTAACTCACGGCAAATTTTCAGTTGATGGCTTGATTGTCAACACGACTAATATGCCGAATACTGAAACGTACTCCTCACCTAGAAAAGATTCCACCTGAATTCGACCGCGAAGACACGTCATTAGTAATCAAGTTTTCACGAAAGTTACACGTCACGAGATATTTCAGGACACAAACAGGCGACTGCCCGATTACTTGACGAGTCACTGACGAGCGAGACTTATTCGCAGTTTCTTTCGGTTTAATCGCACGGACAAAGCGGTTTTCTACCGAAGAGATTAAACGCGGTCAAGAATTTCCATAAGGTCTATGAGAGTAATTTCTGTCGCTTCCTTCGTGACCAACATTATTACCCCGTCACGACATCGCGAATGTAAACCAGGCTGTAGGACAAATAGCTTTCCCGTCAACGATAAGAATTGCGATTCTCCCGAGCAAGACGACCCGTAAATTCTCCCGTATCGATCCGACAACGCGTCGCGAGCAACGCGGATCCATTTGCACTCCGCGGGCGAATTTGCACGTCCTCGCGATAAGATCGCCGTCGATACGCCACCCGAAGAAACGCAAAAACGTCACGAAAGCGCTCCCGAACATGTCGGCCACGGACGGACCTGAACAATATATACGTCGCACTGCTGGCACACAAGCCCCGACTTCTACACCGAGCGAATAATAACATCGCGGAATCCCATCCGCGCGCCACCGACATTGCACGTTATTACCGTCTAGTATTGTTATCTTGCTTGTTGCACCGCCAGCGGCAATTGTTCGAGGAAAAGAGCCCTGCGCACGCATTCATCGCGCGGGATGACGATGGAAGCCGCGAGCATCGACGGATATCGATGCGCCGGCTTTAAATCCGCTCATGTACTAATTGGGGTGTCGAGCGATTATTGCTCTTCTCCCCTCCCCCGAAGTCCCGTTCGCGCCTCCACTGGCGGTCTGCTGAGAGATCGAAGTAACGGCGTGATACCGCGTAGTACACGCGCGATTTGATAGCCTGTCTGTCTGTTCCCCGACCGCGGGGAAGCCCCGCGAGCAACCTCACGCGCGCATTGCGACCTTATCCCCCGGGATAAAGCGCGCCCACGAGCGCGCAGCTCGTGCCAGGAAGGGAGGGAGGGTTTCCGCGCCTCTCGCGCGCGCTTGTATACCCACCCCCGCAGCCGGTGGTGCTTCAGACGCCGAGACAATGTCGGATGATTATGAGAGAGCGCTGCGGGAAACACGATGCACGGCATTACCCGAGGTACTATACCCACCCGACTACCTACCCGACTCTGCTGGCGAAAGCCAACGGCCCGAGCACGACGCTACCGTTGTGCATCAACATCCTTGGACGAGTTGAATTGAGTCGCGAGCTGACGTGCGCGTTCGATAACGCCGCTGGATGACGCCTACAGCCGGAGCTGAAGTGCGAAACTCAGAGTTCCGGTCTCCGGTGGACGAATGAACAACGGATACGTCGCGGCCGATTTTTCCCTCTTCCCTCGTGGCCGACTGTCTATGGGACACGATAAGACGACGACGACGACAACGAGGACGACGAGTTCCGCTCGTACGCAATAGCCGCCCGAGAGGGTTCCTAGATTGAAGTGAGACGCGGCGCGAAGGGGTGGACGCACGTTCCGCAACTCACTTGTCCGGCCACGCCGTTGTCGCGCCCTTTTATACCCCCTACGGCATTTCGGATCGAGAATAGCGTGTCGGCTGAGAGCTTAATTCGATTTGCGATTTACAAATGCGAGAAACCTTTTGCTCCGCGGCTCGTCCGTCACGCAAGTGCCGCGACCGACCGATCCTCATCTCCCTTCGTGACGCCGCGTCCTCTCTTTTCCTCTGCTGATGTTGCGTCGTAATCTCCACTCAAGGTGATCACGATTGTACATTCGACCCGCGCCACCTTTTGCGTGGTATCAGCGGCGATGGCACGCCGCGGCAATGGACGAACTTGATGAATTTAACGACAAAAGCCCGGTTGGATTGACGCGGCGAGGTGCCGCTGTAATTGAACAAAGATATTCATTCCCATTCGGCGCGCAGACTTTCCGCGAAATCAAGTCGGCTCACTGCGTATTCATTCTCCTCCCCGACTATCAAGCTTGCGAGAATAGTGCTCGTAATCGATGTTACATCAGTGTATCTATGTAAGGGGCGGATTTATGCCGTGGCGGTGGTCTCGTTTTAATTACGACGCGTGTCGTTTAACGACACCACGGAGAAATATCCCCAGATATATTTCCAGATACGATATATATTTCAATGAGAGACCCCAAGTCTGTTTTAAAATTGTTTAACCTACTCTGCGGTACTAACAGAGAATCTATTCTCTTCACGCAGGTTACAAACAGCCGTTTCCAGACGGAATGGAACGTGTCGAACGTGACAAGCTGATTGTTGCAACAAGAAGAGACACAGAGAAAGAAAAAGAGACACGGAGACACATGAAGAGGAGACACGCCCGTTCTCAAAGAGGAGGCGGATCGCGTTGAAAAAATCAATTTCCAATGATATAAAACGTAATTTATAGAAGCGCGCGCGCGGGGCCGCTAGTCCCGAGTTAATTAAATCTCCAATGTAGATGCTCATCGGCGTTTTATCACTGCCTTATCGCGACACCATCAGTTACCACAGCCGCGGCGAATCGTAACGCGACGCGAGAATTCGGACGATTGAGCAGTATTTCCGCTATGTCGCGAGTCCCCTCGCAGTTAGCCACAGAGGTTTTTCACCCTCGCGGTCGCGCCGTGTCGGCAAAATACGAGGTGAATTCATCTCGAGGAGTGCACCCGGTATAACGGGCAGACAAGAGGACGGACGGACGGGCGAGCGTCCGCGTTTGCACTCCGTGCCCGTTCGCAACCGCAACCTTCACGCATCCACTGGATTAAATCATAAAATTGTCCCGGAATGGCCGCGAAATTCCGTTGATTTACGAGCGGACTCCGTGTACTCTCCTCTCGCAGGTGCTACTCCGTAACCGTTACCCAGCCATTCGTCGCGGCGGTCTCGCCGACGAGCCCGGCAATCTTTCCCTCTCTCTCTCTTCCTCTAGCTCTCTCTCTCTCTCTCTCTCTTTCTCTCGTTCATGGGGATGGACTCTGCTTTTTATCGGCGACCTCGATAACGATGATTCGTGCGAGAAGGGCGCTTGGAAAAAAGCACGCGAGAGGAAAGGAGAAACACAGAGGGAGGGTGGCGAGGTGGCGCGGAATCCGCGATCCTCGGGTTGCTTCCCGAGGGTTATAAAAAGACAATAACAATAATAAATCACGTTCCTTCGGTCCCAGTTGCATCAATTTAGCTACTTTTGCGAAAAGTCGTTCCACCGAAATTGCCTGTTTTTATCCTAGTTATTCAATTTGCGATGACAGATATAAGTTTTGCTTGAGTCGGGCGAGAAGCTCGCCGAGAGCTTCGCCGCGGAATGTCGGCGGAAGGGAACAGCGGAGCGGAACAGGAGCGCAGGTGAGAGAAGTCGTCGCGCCGCTAAGAGAGCGAGAGAGCGTTTTTCTCGCTTCACCGGCTATATTTACGAGCTACGTTCGCCCATGTAATTCGCGCAACTTATAAAGCGCCGCGCTAGCCCATTGTCCGCGATGAAAATCCAGCGGAAAAATTGAATGACAAACAATGGGCCTAGCTCGGCCAGATTATGGTAACAATGTGAACAAGCCGAACGACGCCGAGCACGACGGACGAAGCCGCGTCCGTCCGCGTTGCAGTTTACGCTGCTTTCATGCCCCGCGCACTTTCGCCTGTCTTTCCCTCACTTTTGTTCCCATTCTCGCGGTTTTGTGACGTGCACTGTCGATACATCCGGCCCGAGTACAAAATTTCATGACATCTAATTAAGTTCGATTGTCCAGAGTAATTATGCTTCTTGGTTAAAAGTAATGCTTCGACTACCTAAGCGGAAAACCCCAAGTTTCCTGGATACCCCAAGTTTCCTTTTCCTAGACTTTACAGACCAGCATTGCACAGAGTATATGCCGACGAATAACTTTTATATTTAATCGGTAAAATATATTCCGTGTCTCAAAAACATTTATTTCATACTTCATTCTGTTGCATATATAATAGTTGATATGAAAAAATGCGTTTAGCTTGTTCAATACTATACCGACCAGGGAATAAACACGACGTCCCATAATATTTTGGTACTAGACGAAACCCATGCTTAGAGATAAGAGATAATAGATTCCCAATTGGTATCGCAGAGTGGGTTAAACAATCTTGGAACAGATTCGGGCCTTCTCGTTGAGATATATACCGTATCTGGGAATTTCTCTGCGGTGTCGATAAACGGCACGCGTCGTAATTAAAACAAGACCACCGCCACCGCCACTACATAAATCCGCCCCTTACATAGATACACTGATGTAACATCGATTACGAGCGCTACTCTCTCGCAAGCTTGATAAATCATTACACCGCACCCGTCTCTAATCTCTCGCGTATATCTCCGACTCGTGTCGGCCGCCTTTGGTCGGACGCCATTCTCTCTTACGCGCATTCGTCCGCCCCGATATCCGATCGCGGACACACGCGGACGTAAATAGAGATCGATCATCCCTCTCTGGTTGTAAGCTGGCGGCATGTGCCAATAGGATCACTTGATTGGACAAAACCGTAGATGCGACCGTCTTGTTAGGCGATACGGCGTAACGTTGTACGCGTATTTTTCCGCCTCAATGGCTTCCATAAAGCCGGGTATCGACGGCATCGGCTTCTGTCGGATATAGTTCCCCGATTTTTCATCGACTGCGACTCCAAACGGGATAGACCAGACCGACGACAATAACAAATTGCATTACATTGTAGGCACACGTGCTTCTTACGTACGCGAGAAACGGAACATAAGACGACTCGACATAATTAGAGGAAACAGGCTTTCGGAGCATCAACTGCAGATGCCGCAAAGTACTTCGTTATATTCCTCACGTTCAACGTGGCCCAGCGCGAAGAAAGGGGTAGATAGAGAGAGGGGGGAGGGAGAGGGGGACGAAGAGGAGAGAAGACGCGGAGGCGAACTTGTCACATATTCTCCACACGAGACCTTAAACTGTTGTCTAGTTTACGGATCTAGGTCGCTTCCGGCACACAGAACAAGATAGGAATAGGATATTGATCGGCGTCGTAAATACACGAAACTGAAGTATTAACAACCAGACTCGTGGGATAAACTACACCCTCGGTTACCTTCAACCTTTCATTCCGGCGCATCATCATTGTCGTCGTCGTCGTCGTCGTCGTCGTCGTCGTCGTCGTCGCCGCCGCCGCTGCCACCCTCTCTTCCGCCACGGCATTGATTCTTAATCCTCCCCCGTTACATACGACGTCTACCCCGTCGGTACTCACGTAGTCGAGTCGCAGGGTGGAAGGACAAAGGAATGCAGATTGAAGAGACGCGGATTAACGAGGATTAACGCTAATTGTGCGGTCGGCGACGACGACTCCTCGTTTCTTGCCGTTCTCTCGCGATAAATTCACCGGAACGAGGATAACCCGCGGTAGATTTCTCTCGTTCCATCGACGACGACGACGACGACTGCTCGATCTCTCTCTCTCTCTCTCTCTCTCTCTCTCTCTCTCTCTCTAGAAAGGCCACTCCAAGAAGAATTCTCCATGCGACTAGATTGGAGGTTGACACTTTTTCCCAAGTCAAGAGCCGTCGCTATTATTCAAATTGTCTCATCAAAGTCAGCTACGATGCGAAAGCTCTCGCGCGTCGTTACGTGGGATCAATTCGGCGCCGCCTTTAATCAAAGCCTCGTTCTTACAGCGAACAATCATGAGATGCGGCGCGGTGAGAAGCATCCGTGTGGTCGCGTGGGCGCACGTCAGGCGAGATCAGTCCTTTTGATGCCTGGGTGTGCCCCTCAGGCTACCCGCGAGTAGAAAATTAGTCGCGTGAGTGGTCTAATTCAACAAACGAGATGGCACAATGATAAGTTTTCTCGGCTTATCGGCGCGAGAGAGTCCGTTTTCCTCTCGTTTACTTCTCAGTCGCGCCGTCAGGGCGTCGGCGAGCGATGGTAGTCGTGCGCTATTATTCCGCAATTGTTCTTACGCAGGAAAAGGTAAAAGAACCATACACAGACGTACCTTCGCGAACAATAAAGCGTATTATGCGTCTCTCACGAGAGAGTGCCTCCGAGGGAGAGAGAAAGAAAGAGCACGTTTTGAATGCGCTGGCATTCTTTCGAAATATGGCTTGGCAAAAAGAGAACCCTCGCTCTTCAATGGCGAGCAGTCGGTACAAGGGAAACTTCAAGTGCGCCGCGGGAGAAAAGACGAACACAAAAAATCACGGTGGCTGATTACAAAGTAGTCATCATCGAAATAGGGGACAGAAAACCCCCGATATAGAGCGACGTGCACAGAATCCTTCCGCAGACTTGGAGCGTGAATTCTCGCCGCTACGAGCCACGCTTGTACGGGAAGTACGGGCGCCGTGTACGCGGCCGAGTGATTACGCCTGATTGCGCTCGGAGCGAGAAGATATTCGTCGATTGTTAGATGCCACAATTTCCAAAGGAGTGATATCACCCAGTCCCATGCGTGTCGCATCATGTCACGAGACGAGATACCTTCGATCGCGTAATTGAAACGGTGCACAAGACGAGGGTGAGAGCAAGATGCAAGAGGAGAGGAATGGGCGCGTACGCGTGCTACAAGAGCAGTATTAACGTATGTTTCTGTAAGGAAAATGTCTATACCGAAAAAAAATAATTAAAATTGCAAACTGTTGCTTCCTGTAACCCCGTACTTTCAACAAAACCTACCAAAAAAAGTGGTAGCATCTTCTAACAAAATCAATCATTTTAACTAGAGATTTATTACATATTATTTCCTTTTGAGTCATGAAGAACACATTTACTCGCGAAAGCACCATCTCTCTTTGATGATATTTCTACTAATAACAACACTCGTACCGTAAACAAAACACAATATTCCTGAAACTTTAACAAAGTTGCACTTGGAATAATTTGTAGAGAAATGCCCTTGAGGCTACAGTGAAAACTTGCAAAACTCAGAGAATTCCAAGGTGGACATTATATTTTTTTTCGTATTTATTTTCTTTCAGAAACCCACCTATCTACCAACTAAAATCTACGAATAGTCTCGACTGTCATTCAATTTCGCGAACACAAGACTAATAGCAAGAACTAAAAATTGCACAACACATCGTCGAAATCGGAAATCGCTCGATTACTCGGATCGCGCAGTCTCTCTAATCCTATCTAACCTATCTCAATTCACGTTCTCTCCTTTTGGCCATCATCGCGCAAACAGTCGGCCGACCAACCGGCCGTTCCCTCTTCTTCGGCCTATATACAATTCGATGGACAACAAACGCAAACGGCCGCGGCGACTCAATCCCACAGCTCATTGCGATCGATGCCACTGTAAGCGCAAATGCACTCAAAGCGACAGATCCAACATGTAGAAACGAAGCGCACAGTCGGCGCGGATCAATTCGATCGGACGACTTTGACTCGGCCGATGCGGAGCAGCCAGCTGGATGATGCCCGAATAAAATGGATAGCGGAAATGGGCTATCTTGGTCGAGATATTCTCCTATCTCTGCGATACGGTTGCGCCGCGAGCATGACTAATTCACTATAACGCCACATCGTTCATTAAGGGCCATCTACAATGCGATTGGTAGTAGACAGTAAGACGTAAACGAGTTGACCAACCACAGTCGATTACTAGAAGAACAATCGACTATGATTAGTCAATTTACTACTTACGTCTTACTGCCCACTGTCAATCTCATTGTAGATGGCCCGTTATAATTTACACCGTACTTAACCCTAACGTAGTAACTCTACGGCTCTCAAAGCGTATACACGCAGTTGCTTTCACTTCCCCCCCCATACCGACTGCGATAATCAACGCTTTCGTCTATTCCTCTACTGGACAGTTGGCTTTGAGTTTACGTCGGTGGCGGTTCTAACCGAGTCTGTCTCAGCTGTTTGAAGTAAGTGAGTGACTTTGTTTGAAAATCTAGTATGTCTCTGAAGCGTATATTACGTAAATTCTTATACGTTTTAGAGACATATGATATTATTTAAACAGTACTTCATTATATTTAAATCTAAAAATGCCCGAATGCTACCTCTTTTTTGCTTTTTTTTTGCGTGTATATATCTGAAGTTATGTGTACAAATTTTATAGATTAAAAAATGAATGATTTGGACTAATAAAGTCCAATCGCAGTGATAAAATTTTAATAATGACAGGATCTTATGTTTATGCTATGAAAATTTTTTTACAGGGCTTTATTTTCATTCGTTTCTTAATCTCTCTCAAGTTTGTGTTTACTTTAGTCTCACATTTTTTATGTGACAAAGTTTCTTTTCTTTTTATTAAGACAATTTTTTCAATAATTCTTTTTTTTAGATTAAGATTTAGATTTTTCATTGATAAAATATAAATTAAAATTTATAATATATTAAGTTTTTATTAATACAATTATATATGTAATATTACATATTATTGTACTCAATAAATTCAGTAATATTACACATATTACTGTATGTCTCAATAAAATGTAATATATAAGTGAGCCATTTTAATCGGTACGGGTAATTATCTCATAAACTAAGCAAAAGAACTATCAAAAAATATTTCAGACAAAAGTTATAAGATTCGAAGTGGGATTGTGACGGTCTTCAGTCCTTATCTGTTCTGTAACTAATCATCGTAAACATGCGCCCAATTCATGCATCCACCCACGCACACGTACGCATACACGCACACACGCACACACACCCACATATGCTTACATTCACACCACATTTACCTACTCACACATGCACGCACCAGTGTGGCCAGAAATCTCATCCGGTAGCAGCGATAACATTGAGAGATAATTGCCCGTACTGATTAGAATTGCCCACCGTGTTTATATAACAACAAAAATTTTTGAAACTTAAATTATGCATTAAAATTATGTTAAAGTAAACAGAAAAAGAGTACAATGTGATAATTTAAAAATTTTTTATCATCTGAAAGACGTATAGACGTATGTTTCTTAATGATTAAAAATGAGGATATTTATGTCAGGATTAATTCTTAATTCTCTCACTCTACCAGTCTCTATTTTTCTCAAGACATACGACTGAATTGCGCCGCACGCACGCACGCACGCACTCCTTGCACTCGTTTCGGGCGCCGCCAGCGAGGTGCACGAATGATGTTCTCGTCGAAAAGTAAATGCGGGAACAACTGTTTAGACGCGGCGCGCACGGCGAGCACGACGCGTACGTATGGCGAATGAGGTTACATCTCATTTGTTCCACCCACCTATTCACGTCCTTTGCCAACGACGTCCCAGCGCGTGTTACCGCTGACAAAGAACCCGTCGCGCAGGATAACGTCGATTCCTCGTGAATTCTTCGGAAAAATCTACATAATTTCGGCAATTGCCTTTTGTGTCTGAGATGTCTGAGATGAAAGACTCGCAACGTCAAATGCACCGGAAATTTTCTTTACCACCTCCTCTCGCTACCCCACACCCACTTGGCCTCTCGCCCTGCTCGACTCACGCCCTTCTCGCCGTTTCACTCTCCGGTGAGCCAAATTGGAGAGCTCCGGAAGGATGCGCGATGAAGTAACAAATCGAAGCAAGGTAGTAACTATTCGACGTTTCGCGCGAACCGAACGCTACCGTCTTTTACTTGTCGAAGCGACGCACTTGCGCGAGACAAGCGTCGCCTGATTCACTGAAACTGACAAATTTCGCGGTCGAGCCCCGAAATAATTCGGTCCAGACATTTCGGCCCGCGTTCTCCAACACACCACTCGAGCGTCGTGTATACGCAGAAACTACTCATCTTAAACACACTATCGATATGCCCGCGAAATCGAACAAGCGAGCGCTCGAACGAGCACGAGTGCAAACTCGCGTTCCGCTAAAGCTCAAAACGAAACACCGCGATAACAAAAGAGCTGCAGGGACAGACATTCATACAATGTGCTTCTCGGTTTGCCCGGAAAGGACAGACGGAAGGAACGAAAGCAAGAAAGCTCTCTCACTCTCTCGCACAGTACGGGGCGCGCGCATACACACGTTGTGCTCGCCGCAAATTCGTCGTGTGGCCAGTGCGAGCTCGAGAGAGCACGCCTTAGAACAAAGCATACCCGCTCGAAGAAGGACCGGCTTAATTTCGCCGCCAGCACCCATGCTTATTCGAGCGGCGGGCCGCACTGCGTCGTACCGCGCTATGCCGGGTTGGCTCGCGCGGGACAGCTCAACCCCACAAGGGATTCGACATCTTTTGTTTCAGCACAATAGCGTCCGCGGCACAAAAGTGACTAAGTGCCCGTAATACTCGCCATTATACGTCGCCTACCCGCGCAGCTTTCCTGCTCACACTTGCTTGGCCCTTACGCGCTCATCTTTACTGATATCACGCGCTACTGTATCCCGCTCCCTCCCGCACTTTACGTACTTCAGTACCAGCGTATGCACGCGTCTGTCAAGTTTGTGTTGACGTGGCCACGTGTGCACATGGGCGCTAAATAAATCTATCCCAAAGTTACGCTCCGATTTCTTTCTACTTTGACACAAATGTAAAAGTACAAAAAATATTTAGATCACATTTTTTCATTTTGGTTCACTTTGAGTTTCACGAGCAGTTTATAGCTTTTTAATGTTCTCACTCCTATCATCAACAAGTGCAACAAAAATGCATAAGTAATTGAATACAAGATATAGGCGTTTTTGCTGATTATGAATATGAATGGTTTTCTTATGTATTTTTGTTTTTAGTATTTAGAATGGTTCGTATTTCAGCTATGCCAATTTTATTAAAATTACTTAACTATATCTTATATTTAATTTTATTTCTTATGTATTTTTGTTGTACTCGTTGATGATAGGAGTGAGAACGTTAAAAAACTATAAACTACCCGTGAAACTCAAAGTGGACCAAAATAGTAAGCCAAGACTTGGCACACCAAGACTTGGCACACCATATTTAAAAATGTGACATTTTTTTTAAAGTTTTGATACTCTCTTGAAAAGTTCTAGAGCTCTATGCAACAATTTTAAATAGTTCCGGTCATTAAATACAAAAATATAGACTTTTAAAAAAAGGTGCGCTAAGTTCTCGCAGCGCACCTAATCAAAAAAACTATTTAAATTAACTATTTCTTTAGAGTTCCGGTTTGTTTTACAATAGTTCTAGAGTTCTATATCATATATAACAATAGTTCTAAAGAAATAGTTGATTTTACTGATTAAGTGCGCTTCGAAAACTTAGCGCACCTTTTTTTGAAAGTCTGTTTTTTTGTATTTAATGACCGGAACTATTTAAAATTGTTGCAAAGAGCTCTAGAACTTTTCAAGAGAGTATCAAATCTTTAAAAAAAATGTCACATTTTTAAATATGGTGTGCCAAGTCTTGGCACACCATATTCAAAAATATGACATTTTTTTTGCAGTTCTGATACTCTCTTGAAAAGTTCTAGAGCTCTATGCAACAATTTTAAATAGTTCCGGTCACTAAATACAAAAAAACAGACTTTCAAAAAAAGGTGCGCTAAGTTCTCGCAGCGCACCTAATCAAAAAAACTATTTAAATTAACTATTTCTTTAGAGTTCCGCTTTGTTTTACAATAGTTCTAGAGTTCTATATCATATATAACAATAGTTCTAAAGAAATAGTTGATTTTACTGATTAAGTGACAAAGAAAAAAATATGACCTAAATATTTTTTGTACTTCTACATTTGTGCCAAATTGGAAAATCGGAGTGTACTTTTTAAGTAGGTTTACTTATAAGTATAGTTGCACGGGTGTATAGTACCTGCTAATCGACAATGGGATTTACGAACCAACGTTTCTGGTTATTTCCAAATACTTGAAAAAAATCAAATCTGTATTAACAATCGTTATTGAAATTTATCTTACGTGAGATATTTAAGCTTTCACTTAGAATTAGACCAAAGTTTTTTAGCTGAATTATACGATACATATGACATTATATCTGCAATCGCGATTCAATTAAAAAACTCCCGTTTAACTCTGAACTGAGATCTTATATTTGAAAGAATATTTTATTTGAAAAAAGTTTCATATAACATCTATTATTACGGATCTTAGACTCTGATAATTTTGTTGTAAAATCGTTACGTTGATTGCTCATATTATTACGCACGTTATGTTTTGGTGTTTTAGTCGAAAAATACATGTAAATACAAAGTGAAAATGTCTGTAACCTATTTCTCAAATGGCACAAAGACTGTCAACTTATTATCCGATTATTTGCCGAGGTATCGTCGCGATAAACGATTGGTAACGAGATTACAATCTATGTACCCCTGCGGGGTTGTCACCTGAAGGCGTAAGCGGGCTCTTGCTCGATAACGTCACGGAAATCATCGTGTATCACGGATCAGCGCTAGCGGGCTACTTGGACAATTAAAATGAGACGCATCTACTCGAAGAATCAATTGACCAGCACAAACAAAACGAACGCCGCAATTTTTATCAGCGTTCGGCGTGTGTTTCTCGCGTGCCGCAATCAGCCCGCGCTGGGAAAACGTACGGGCGTGTACCCGACGAGAGCATCGGCGATCCCGCGGCGCGCCATTCTCGCGATATTAATGGGTCGACGTTTCTGCCGTTGAGCGTAGCGGCGCGCGTTTAGTTAGCACCCGTGATGGCAATTTGTAAGGGGCGTCGGTGGTTTTCACGACGAAACGGGAAGCACAGCGGACGCAGCCGCGCGAAATTGATATAACCGGGACCCGCCGTTCTCTCTCCCTCGCGGTGCTCGAACCGGCGTGATGTATCACCAACATCTGGAGACTCTTCGCGCCACGTGACACGCACGCACGGCGGCTTTCGGGAAAATTAAAAATTGCGAGATCGAATCGATGGCGCGCGCGATAAACGACGCGACCGGAGACCGGTCGGGAATAAGCAGGGAGGAGCGCAGGGGTTTTTCGGTAAAGGTCATTCGGTCATCCG